CATATATAGAAATGCGGATAAGCGCACAGCATTTTGGGAATGATTCATATGCATTTGAGGCTGTAGGGGTCACAGGAACAGGACTAGGGACTGGGCAATGTCTCCTGGGCGAACTAGCAGAGTATGTTTAATGTTAAATATTAGGACAGGTTCCTGTACCGTGATCTATTGTGATCTGTCGCTAACATTTTACAACAGGTATAAATATCCCTGCATTCCCAGCCATATCATGCCATAATATTGTGTTTGAAATTCTCCAGCTAAAAAAAGGATAAAATAACACATTTTCATCAGTCAGTTATGTGGCCAGAAGCGCCTTAGATCTTTTCCTTAAAACTAATATTGACAGGGTTCTCCGGCTCGGAGAGCACCGGAACGAAGCGGGCGGCCGCCCAGCTCTGTGGCCACGGCGCGGACACGCAGACCTCAACCCTAACTCCAGGGAGGAGCTTTCATCGTCTGGACCTCAAACCACAACACGGCCAGTGACCTGCCGGCAAACCCAACAATCACCCCCGAAATTACAAACACAGGCGGCAGTGAAAGCAGAGGACGGCCCGACTGCACGGGAACGGCCGGCACCTTCAGCGCAACGCTGCCCATCGGCTATAAACCCATTCGGATGGGAACGGTTCCCCAGGACGGGAGATGGGACATGTATGGAGGCCCTCTTCCTCCACATCTGCTGCTGGGAACTGAAACTCCAACATCTGCTGCCCTCCCTCTATGATATGCTACATGTTTTGCGGCCGCACACCTTGTACAGAGCCTCCAGAATGTTCTACGGCCTAAACACCAGAGAAAGCCCTTCAGAAAGTCCCAGTGTGGAGCGTAGCTTTCGCCACTGATTCTCACCACTGCCTCTAATTAAAAACAGAAATCGGCAGCCCCATTTATCACCATTAGGAAACGATATTAACATGAGATTTGCTACATGATTAAAACAATGAACGCAACCCAGAAGGATTCCTTCCCGATTAATACCATGTAGATATTTGAGAAACAAAAACTTTGCAGACAATGTCCTGGGAAGAGACATACGCATTTCCTGCTGTGTGAGAATTCGAGAGGCACGGGGGTGGCCTGGGAGGATGGCGTGGACCCCAACCAGTGAACAGGCCTCACTGGCCAGATGGTTTGGAGGTTTGGAGTGCGCATGATGACAGGATTAAATAAGGGTGATTAATCGGCTGTGCTTGTACTCTCAGAACGGGACGTCTGAGGGCAAACTTTCCCATTTAAGGTGAAAGAGTGGATATTTACTCACACAATGACCCTTTACTGCCATCCTAAGACATTTACACTTTTAATTGATAATTGTAATTTAGCAGCCAAGCGAATATCCCCCAATCCACTGGGTGGTATTTAATTTGTTATGTGATGTCAAAGACTGCGCATTTAACCTAACACCTAATTCTAAAAATGCAATTCTGCTGGTAACAAAGAGGGTTAGAATGAACGCATATGAACAACAGCAGGCTGGATGGGACTCTCAAATAAGCAAATGAAATAAAGACACTGTGGAACTGGACAGTTCCAGCACATCTGAGTACCACATCATGTCATCCGTGTTCTCGTACACAACATCTGTCTCTCATAAATGCACTTAACAAATGCCCATCGAGGGGATGTCTGTGAATGGATGGTCACTGGTTCAAATCCCCAGGTGGGCAGAGTGATGTCACTGTTGGGCTCCTGAGCAAGGTCACTAATCCATGATTGCTCCAGGGACTGGCAGACCCTGCATTTTAATAAAAATGTACGTCGCTTTGGATAAAAGCAACTGCTACATAAATAAAATGTTAAAAAATGAACCCAGCGCTTAGCACAGCAGGGCAATGTCTAGTTGGGCATCCGCAGAGCTTGATTCACTCACATGCGGTTCGAACTTTCAGACGGGGTCTGTCTTGGGACATGTTGGCGAGAGAGGCAGAGATGGCGATCAGATGCTATCAGACCAGGGCGCGCAGTTTGGGGAAAGTCAACCCCTCATCCCCACTCACCTATCGAGCCCATCTGTCAGATCGTCATCCCCTATGATACATAAAAGTGTAAGAAATTAATCGGCTCAGTTCACACGCTACCAGCCTATCGATGCGTTTGAAAACAGGAAAAGGCCGAAGGAGATTTAATCAATGTGCTAAGATAGAATCGCGGGAAGAACATTCAGATTGATTACATTCGCGTCTCCCGACCTGCATGTTGGAACAAAGACGACACTGTTCTCGAAAGTTTCTCCAAAGCCGATTATCATGGATTTGTTTATTTCCTCTCCTTAGTATGTACACAGAAATAAAATACTACATTTATTGTCAGTGATAATTGTACACATCAGTCAGTGAAATGAAATACTTTATTACATCTTAAACAAATTTGTTTTAAAAACATTAAAGTAGCAATGTTTTTATAAGTATAAGCCTTTAATATAGAGCTGTATCTGGAATTAGTTATAGGTATTATCAGATATCTACGTTTATAAACATGAATTTGAAAAAATTACGATAAAAGACTGAACTCAAAACACACAGATTTGTGTACAACTGGAAACACACACAAACTCTTTTAAATTTGGATTAGTATGAAAAGACTTTGGGTACACCCTGGCTTCCCCCCCGCCGTCCCAGAGGGCCGTGGGTTCAGGCCGTGTCCGTTCCTGATTTCCCGCGGAGTCACAGACAAGGTGGGGTGGCTAAGCCGCTACCCGCAGCACTCGGAGAGAGGGGAGGTCTCTGCGCGGGGAGCTGCTCTCATTTCCCATGTGCTAAATAGCTTTTCTGTTTTCATGCACAGAAAGACGGCTGAGCCGTTTATTACTGGCCGCCAGTCTCCCCCCCGGACTCCGAGGCACGTGATGACTGAGCCCTCACGTTTCTGTCAGCTTGAAATGCCCAGCCCCCCCCTTCTCACACGTCGGCACAGAAACGCGTTTATTAAAGCCACGACTCCGCGAGCGCTAAATCCTCTGGCCGCAGTGTAATTCAGGACATTTTCATTTTCTTAAAGCAATTTTGCAGAGTTGGTTTAATATCCTTTCGCTTGTGAGCGGAAATGAGCTCTGAGCCCGGAGTGTTTGTACAGGGTGATGGCGGTTCACGCCCGCAGGATGGGAGCGGGTATCCGAGGAGACCCCAGGCGGCTGCATGGCCGCGACACTGCCCGGGTGCGAAGCGAAGCGGCAGCTGGCCAGACAGCCACGCCCACCGCCAAAAATACCACATTCTTCTGAATATAAGCCCTTGGGATTCCGAATTTACAGGTCATACAATATTTCGGATCAAGGGAATATAGGAATATGGAGCTTCATGGAATAAATAGTTATATTTGTTAATTAGATAACAAAGAATGTGTAATTTTAGATTTGATATATTAAATACGCAGTTTTCCGTACTTACGCAATGAGAATTGACTGGTTTTAGAGTTATATCACGGGTCCCTTCCATATGCTCTGCATTAATGCTGTCAGACCATATTCATATTTTACAATATAAAACCAAAGGAAGGACATGCAAGAAAAGCACCAGCCACTAACTTTGATATATAGCATAAAGCATACTTTGGCTAAACTTGATTTGCCGTGTTGATTTTGATACTTTGATATAAAATACTTTCGGTGAGGGGTGGTGTTAGATGGATGCAGGTTTTTTAAGGTTATATTTTTAAAGTGTTGCTGTGTTGCTCTAGAAGAAACAGCACCCCCCCCCAAAAAAAAAAAAAAACCCCAAGTCACAGTACCCAGCCAAGGGTATTACTGGGTGGGAGAAAATTAGAAAATTAAAGCAGGAAGTAAAATTTAAATGTTCATTAAATACATGTAAAGTCTAGACATGGATTTTCCAGTTTGCATAGTAAGTAATATTATGACGATAAATATTAACAGCTATCGATTCACGTTCCATAACTGCTCATACAACAGAGGGTCATGGACATGGCTGCGAGGCTATCCCACAATGCACGGGGCATGGGGAGGAGGCGGAACTCCAGGCCAGCGCTGGGCATATGCCTGTAGTCACCAGCTAGCCAGTTAACCAAGATGCCAGTTAGCACTGTGGGAGGAACTTGAGGTCCCAGAGGAGAACCATGCAAATGTAAGGGAGAACATGCAAACTCCACATCAAGCGGTGGTGGGGGGGGGAACAAACCCCCGACTGTGCAGAGGGAGGCAGCACTGCCACCCCATTAATAATATTTTTATTAATAACAATAATAATAATAATAATAATAATAATACTTAAAATACATTAAGTTTAGCTGCTACAAAACTGTGGGAGCCAGAGCACATATGTGAGGGATATGCTGAACACAAGCTCACAAGAACCACGGCAGTCCCTGCTGGAGACCTCAGGAGCTTCTCACAAGAACCACGGCAGTCCCTGCTGGAGACCTCAGGAGCTTCTCACAAGAACCACGGCAGTCCCTGCTGGAGACCTCAGGAGCTTCTCACAGGAACCATCTCAGACCCTGCTGGAGACCTCAGGAGCTTCAAACAGGAACCATCTCAGACCCTGCTGGAAACCTCAGGAGCTTCTCACAGGAACCATCTCAGACCCTGCTGGAGACCTCAGGAGCTTCTCACAGGAACCATCTCAGACCCTGCTGGAGACCTCAGGAGCTTCTCACAGGAACCATCTCAAACCCTGCTGGAAACCTCAGGAGCTTCTCAAAGGAACCATGTCAGACTCTACTGGAGACCTCAGGAGCTTCTCACAGGAACCATCTCAGACCCTGCTGGAGACCTCAGGAGCTTCTCACAGGAACCATCTCAGACCCTGCTGGAAACCTCAGGAGCTTCTCAAAGGAATCCATCTCAGACCCTGCTGGAGACCTCAGGAGCTTCTCACAGGAACCATCTCAGACCCTGCTGGAGACCTCAGGAGCTTCAAACAGGAACCATCTCTGACACTGCTGGAGACCTCAGGAGCTTCTCATAGGAAACACATCAGAACCAAAACCTCTGCATCCCACACTCTGCTGTTGAACATGGCTTTTAAGAAACAAATCTGCTCCACCAATGTCACGTGCCATACATTAATCACCCCTTAATGCCATTTTCCCCATCACACAGTCTTGAAGCCATTCGGTGAGTTGCATAAGGATGGAGCCACATCCCTGCTTCAGGTCCTCAGGGTTACAGGCCTGTGGAGATGAGGACAAACACATTTAACCAAGCAGAGAGGGAACGTGGGTCTGCACAGATGTCACGCGTCACACTCTGAGCGGCCGCTCCGTGTAATCAGGCCTCAGTGGGCCTGTAATGAAGCATCACAGCAGCGGTTTGCAGCGGCTCCAGGGCCTGCCGCCGTGAAGCCAGCTCTGATTTGAAGGCTTCACTCTCGCCGGGTAACTGTAGGCCTCCCGGGCGCACTCTCCCCGTCCGTGACAAGCGCAGACCGCAGACAGAGCGACCGCACAGATTTTTCCCTGAGTTCATCCTGGAGCTTGTAAGCCAGTTGTCATGGCGACTCCAGAAGCATCACACTTTCCACAGAGCTCTGTTACGACCGGCTCTGTTGAGCAGAAATAACGGGCACTCAGACCCACGGGAGGCTCCAGCACCCAGGTCTGAATCAGGCCAGGCCAGCACTTATTAGACATATTTAATAATGCAGAACAGCGCGAGAGAGTAAGAGGCACGGAACAGCTACAACAAGCACACAGCAATGAGTGATACAGAACTGTGGAGATGGACGAAGCAGGATGAGAACGGAGGGAATAGAGGTATCGATGTGTAGAAAGGAAAGCGGGGGAACTGGAAAGCCTGGGAGGACACCATGCATATAAACAGATTTAAGAAATAGTTTAGGCAAAATGCAAATGTTTATATCACCATAGACGTTAAGAAGTCATTCATGCATCACGGAACCACAGCCACGTTCCGACATCCCCACAAAGCAAACCGCTGAGAGCTCTTCATTTTGAGAGGGAAAATTATCGGTGACAATAAGTGTAACTGAACCGAGGTCAGCATAGGCCAAAAAGCCGATCCCGTTCAGAGCTCAGGACGAAAAGCAAGGCTGCGAGGAATAAGCAGGGCATTCGCCCCCGTCTCCTGCCCGCACAGAGCCCTCGTCGCACCCTCAGCAGAGCCGTGCAAAGCAGACACCCACCTGACAACAGAGATCTTTTACTGGGAGCACTGGGAGCTACACTCGCGGTGCCTGCACACAGGGGTGGGGGAGAAACAAACACAGCTCAAGTCAATCAGCAGAAAGACACCGCGGCACGTTGGGCACATTTCAGGGGAACCCGAAATCGCTCCGGTGGGGACTCGCGCCGCTGGCTTGGACTCTCGCTCTTTAAACAGGGATTAAAGTGTCCCAGTGAGAACGGCACATTTTAAACAGATGTGAGCGCCTGAGTGTAAATCATGCTTTCCAGAGCTGATCCCCACTCGATACAACAGAAAATGAAATATACAGAGTAAACCTGAGAAAATGAAATAATCAGGGTGATGAAAACACTGTGCTTGAAAGATCTTTATAGACTGAGAGTGACTTTATGGTTTTCATCCGTATTTTACTGCTATATTTCAGAAAGATTAATATGTAATATGTAGCGTGTCCGCTGCTGATGAAGGATTGTCTTCCTTCTGGGATGAGAATCTGAGCATCACCTCGACGGCCGTCTCAGCCGCAGGTCCACAGACCGTCTCCAGACTCTGGCTTTTTACTCGAATCAAATGTGAGACGTATTTACAGGAAACATCTGCAGATGTTGATGTTGAGATGGTGGACTGCGGTGTTCCTGACACGGACTGTCTGTATAGCCCCATTTAAGTGATGAACAGCAAACGGGGAGGGGGCATGGCAGGGACATGGGGAGACCTGAAGGAGCTGGGATAGACATTTTGGAGGATTCCTGTATGAATGCATAATGGAAAAGGTGGGGGGGTCATCTCTCATCTTATATGGAGTTTAGCTGTCAATTAAATCACCCCCCCCCAAGACAGATACACAACTTATATATATTTATATATGTATGTGGGCAGCAGGTTTGGCTCTGGATCACAGACAAGCCTGGGCACACAGGGGGTGTCAACAGCACCAGCCCCCCCCCCCAGACGCCATACACGAATGGAGTCAGCATCGAGTCATGGGATGGACTCAACCTCCACTCATGTCTTGTGGCTGGTGAAGCCTTCGCCTAATTACATACAGAACGTGACTCGCGCCCCGAACACATAGAGCCCCGACCTGAGGCGGGGGCCTCTTCGGGGGTCTCTGGGGGCCCACCGCTAAAGGTAGGGCCACATCCATCAACCCTGCATGTGTGCGAGCCTCCACGGCCACCTGTCACGGAAAACGACTCCTAGTTTAATTCCAGTGTTTGTGTGCGGTGCTCCTTGGGACAGGAAGACATGTCTCAGAAGGAAGGGTTCTGTTCTACGGGTTTCTCTGCCTTAGCAGTTAATCCCTTATTTACCAAGTCAGACAGATTACAGGCTGTTTCTGGAAAAGGAGCCAAAACCATGAGCATGTAAACAGTACTAAAGGAACGACGCTGAACTACAGGATCACCTGAAATGCTTTTAGACTAATCGGCTTGTGCCTGTCAGAGAATCATCCACAAACCTGCAACCAGTATGGGATTTACAGATGCTAGACAGATCGTGTCAGGGTGCAGTTCTGGTACTGACCCAATACGATGTCCAGCTCACAAGTGAGACAGCAGTTACTGTAAAACTGACTCCAAAATGTCACCTTAGAAATGAGCCCTGGGGTGGCTCCTTTGGGAGGGGACTGAAACTCATACGCTGTCGGTGCAGCTTCAGATCAGAGCTGAACACGGAAGGCTGGATGCCAGCCAACATGTGTGCTGTGGCCACGGCACAGGACTGCTAAAGCAAAGCTGGACGTCGTAAGAGAACCACAAACCCAGAGGGTTCATCAGGCGACACAAAGCACTGCACTGTCACCGTCACATTCAAAGTCAAACTGAAAGCCACCCGGGCAGGACACCAATCCCCTGGGGATTTATTAACATCAGAAAATGTATTTGTTCATTACGTCACTGCCATCACTGTAACAGGACGGACTTTTTCTTGACTGGTTTAAGTGGTAAGGCTTTAAGGTATTTTGCCTATATCAATGCAAAATTGTAATAATCTAAAGTAAGTAAATACAGAGGTATGAGAGAGACAGAAGGGAACTGGAAGATACTTATCTGCCTGACTCTTACAATACAGCCAAACACACATCTGACTCTGTCTGAAAGTGGCCTGGGGCTGTGAAACTTTATAACTCTCCTTTAAAACAAGAGCAGCCAGTGAGGGTCTGAGCACCAGGCCGTCTGCTCCGGCTCTCTCTCCTCAGCTGAGACACACACACCTCATCTGCAAAGCAGGAGAGGACAGAGCGACTGAGCACTGTCTTGGTAAGGAGGGAGGTACCCATTACTCAGTGAGAGAGACCTTAGGCGATGGACGCAGGGAGCAGTGCCTGAAGAGGTCACGTTAGAGCTGAGGGTGGGTGTAAATTATAAGGGGGTTGTAACCCCCCCAATAATCACAACTGGAGTGTCTCTGAGGAGCCTGTGAGGAGTCTATGAGGAACATGTGAGGAGCTTGTAAGGAGTGTATCTGAAGAATCACAGAGCTTGTACAGTGAGGTACACTCACGGCTGTCCTTTGGCAGTGACTCCACATGGTCACTCTCCGCATCACTGGGAACCAACCAGGGCTGTCGGACGGCCTGCAGCTGGTGGCATATCTCCTCCTGTGGAAGAAGGAAAAGAGCATATGTGTATTCTCACATAGGAAGAAGATAGCGTGTATTCTCACATAGGAAGAAGAGAGCGTGTATTCTCACATAGGAAGAAGAGAGCGTGTATTCTCACATAGGAGGAAGATAGCGTGTATTCTCACATAGGAGGAAGAGAGTGTGTATTCTCACATAGGAAGAAGAGAGCGTGTATTCTCACATAGGAGGAAGATAGCGAGTATTCTCACATAGGAGGAAGAGAGCGTGTATTCTCACATAGGAGGAAGAGAGCGTGGTTTCCTTAGAATGAGTTGACATCAGAAGCCATTGCATCATGATCTGGAAATGGAGCTAGCGGTCACATTCTGAACTGGGTAACGTGAACGCCTTAATCAAACCAAACTCTAACCCTAACCATAACCGTAACCATAACCATAACCGTAACCATAACCGTAACCATAACCCTTATGGTGGAACTCTTTAAGAAAAGAGTCCTTTATATTCCACCAAGTAAACTCGCTTCATTTAAGATGGGAATTAAAGTGAAATGCTCTGTCGCCAATTTGATGAAACAAAGAGCAGCAGGACCATCTGAGGTTGGCATTGCCACCAGACGCCACCAAGACAGGATCCAGCAGGTCGTCTGGCATTCGGTGCTAAACTCCAGAATGTTCACGCCTCATGCTCGCTCGCGCTAAGCTCATTTTCACGGCATTCTGATCAGCACTTTAAGGTTTACTAGATAGCGGCTTATGGGGCTGCTGCCAGGTGAGGCAGTCACCCCCCCTCCCAGCTACGCCGCGAAGCCCGATCCTCCTCTCGGACGTTCTTGGAAAAGAAGGGAGATGAAGTGGCCTGGAATTCCCGGTGAGTTCACCACACTCAGCCGTCCATCAGCGAGGAACCGGAGACGCGGAGCATGGCCCTATTCACACGGCGGCCATGTTTCTTCCAGAAATGTTTTTATTTTCTTAAAAATGAAGAACACCTCAGAGTGCAACCGTGAGCCAAAGCGTAATAAATAAACGGTACGCCACTCTGCTGGGAGCATTTTAATGTGCTCTTAGCTTTCAGAGATAGAGGGTGATGCAGATCCTCGCATTTCCTGGCCGGGGGATTCAGCATGCAGCTTACGCAGCAGCCGAGGATAGATTACAGGCCGGGGAGAGCGGCGCAGGGGCTCACGTACCACGTGCAGACGGACTACGCAGAACCGGGAACCGGGACGTCGGCGTCTGGTGCATGTGCCCCGCCCATTCCCACGGCCGCAAGCACAGCTGGCTTCTATTACGCGTGATCCGCGGTGCCGACGCGCTTGATAATCCGTGCAGGCGTCGGCCGAAGCCGCTGCTGAAAAGTGCGTGGAGAAGCCACGTGATTTTCGCCGAGGATGAGTAGGGGGTCGTGAAGGATCACACACCGGGCCACGACAGCCAGTCGGAGAAAAACACTCACTGAAACGCTGCCTGATCCCAGACACAGTTTTTCCACGTCATGTCAACAAGCCGCACCACCCAGTGCCACCACCCACTTCTTCTGGAACATTCTTCTGTGATTTCACTTAAGCTGGGAAACCTCCTTCTCCTACTCCAGCATGTACGCAGATGATAGGTGGCTCTCCATCTACTACCAGGAGGCCTCTGTGACCCCTAACATCCCAACCGGTGGTGGGGGGGGGTCCACCTGCCGGTATCTACGGTGAATGCAGACTGCCTCCTGGGGCAGTGACCCCGCTGTGACTCCGCTGAGACATCTCAGATCCCAGCGCCATATGGAAACTCTTCCTCCCATACACTATTTGGGCTGCTCTGTTCTACTGGTGTTGGTGTTGGTGTGTCACATGGAGGGGAAGACTGCCTGGCAGGATGGAGAACAGCCCCGACCCCCTCACCTCCGACAGGCTCCCACTCTGAGCTGCCGACTTCCCCAGGGCGTCTGTGGTGCTGGGGCCCGGCGGCGTGAGCTGGGGCCTCCCAGCATGGCCCACCAGGGCCTCTTCCCTGCCGCTGAGGCTGGCCCATGGCACCAGGCTGCTGGGTGTAGGGAGGCAGCTAGGGGTCTGGGCCCTGGCACCCCCGCCTGAATGTGGATCGCCGGCCGTCAGAGGTGAGGGTGTGGCCCCGAGCAGCGGGGACCGGGGCCCGGCGTTGTGGGGGAGCAGGATGGCTTCGTGCGGCTCGCCGGGGGCTCTCAGTAGCCGCCCTGCAGACAGCTTAGCCAGATCCTTCTCAGCCACTGCAGGGCAAAAACAGATATACGCTGCTTAGCGTCCCCTGGCTTGTTCACTGGGAAATGCGCACGGCCCCACAGTGCTCCTATGTGTGAAGCCGCTCTGCTCCCTGCTTTCCTTTGGGGCGAATAATATCGTGATTATCACAATGACCTCATTACTTTTTTTTAGGAAAAGCAGGGCTGTCAAATGTTAGGGAGGGACACTGCAGAGGGACTGAACAGCTGGGATTCCATGTCACTTCTGTTTAAAACACTGTCATTCACTACTATGAAGACAGATGGGAATTGCTGTAAGTTTCTACATGTTTAATAAATGCTGAATTTACATACTTCTCCCTAACTTTGACCATGCCATTTTGTAGAGTTTGTCCCAAAACAAGTTTGCTTTATATCTGGCATAGTGATGAAAAACATGTTTCCAAAGCCCTCAGAGGAATCTCTGGCTTGTTCTGGGATCTGGTTCCTGGCTTCTGACACAGGAATATTTTGAGTACCGTCTCCTGCCTTCGCTCATGTTGACTGTTCAGCATCATTAAGCCTCCAAAGCAGGTTATCGATTTCCCGCCTGCACTCCTGTCACCCACAATGCCACAGATACCGCTATGTGACCCCTATACCTGCCAGTGTCACCTGATAATGTCACCACAGTCACCGCACTCTGCTTTATTGTGAGACACATTCAAGGAGAACGCTGAACACATCTCAGCAGAACATATGGACCATACGGAGACGCACACACACGCGTCATACTGCTTTGATAGAAGTTTGGATCTGGAATAACCTACAGGATTTGAAGTTTTCGACGAGATTCTCGTAACAGCGAAGTTATGAGAAGCAGAGATATGAGAAAGTGGCCATTTATTAACTGTCACAGTGTTTTTCACTTTGCCAACCTGATGTGCATTTCAGGGATTTTTTTTATTGTCCTCCGGCTCAGGTCTGTGAGCTGCTCATTTTAGATGGCAGAGAAGCAGCTAGATCACTGCTGGATGGTAAGAAAAACCCGGAGTGACTCTGTGGTGGAGACCTGCACTCCCACGGGACCCAACGCACCGAGTGCTGCGCGGGACAAGATTTGATGGGTGAATGCGGGTGCAGGCGGTAAAGTCCTCATGTATGTGCGGGTTGCGGGAGAATAGAATTAATCGCGGGACTCCCGCAAAATGTAATTATCTTAAAATTAATTTATTAAAAACAATTAGGCCTACTCATTTATCTACTGCACAAAAGCAACAAGAACAACTAAATTAAAATAATAACAATTTACAGGCGAATCGTCTACAGAAACTACAATTGCCGCGCTCTGAGTGCCGGGGGACGTAAGCGGACACCCCAAGAAGGAATCAGCCTGGTGCTTGGACGGGATGGCATGTTCTGAAAAGCTCCTCGTTCATGTCCATGTTCATCATTCCATTTAATTAAAGTTAAATAAAACTAAACATATTTGTTTATTTTCCGTTTCTTTTTTATACATACTCAAAAGGGAAGCAAGTGAAACAAATAACAGAGTAGCGAGAAGAAGCGGTAAAAATAAAACTACTTATATGTTTACCTGCGGGATTTTGCGGGCGGGAGCGGGAGAAAATAATATATATTTTTTGCGGGAGCGGGCAGGAGCGAGACAGAATCTTGCGGGAGCGGGACTGAAAAATCTGTGGTGCCTTTAGTGTAGAAGGTGGCATGAGGACCTGGATATTGAGAAGTACGTCAATAAGGACCCATTTCGCATCCAGACAGCAAATCTGGGCATCATGGGAGTTTCTTATGTTCTGAGCATGTTTTTATACTACTAATGGAAATTAAACAGGCAATACAGTCTGACTATTGCCTTGGGGGAGGGGGAGGGGGGGGGGGTTACCGGCAGACCAATTCCACCACTAGACCCCTGAGCAAGGCCCTTAACCCCACGCATGCTGGCTGACCCTGCATTATCACCCTGAACTTTGCTCTCAACTGTGTAAGTGTTTGTGTGTCTCTTGGAGAGCAAGATGCAATAAGCAAAAAGACTATTTTTCCATGGGGATACATAAAGTATCACTGTTATATGTTCTATCATTCACATCTAGACACACAGAGCACTACCAGTCCAGACCAACAGGGGTCATCGTAGCAAGAACACCAGCATTATCAAGGCAGAACAACAGAGCCGCATGGGGTCAAAGGCTGACAGTACGGATGAAGAAGCCGGACTCGCCTGGGACTGAATGGAGAACGGGCAGTAATATGGGACACGAAATGTATTCATTTGTAATTAACCCAAGAGCCCTGTGGGCCCTTGCTGATATGTCAGTGAGATATTAACACTGCTCTGTGCTTGGATAACAGAGGATGAATGAAAGATTAACATGCACCATCATTTCCTGTGGAGCACTGGCTCAAATATGACTCATAATAGAGACTTTAGTGGAAAACTGCCATCATTTCATTTGTCAGAAGGAATGAATTTTATCCAAAAACCGAAGCCTGATGTCAGTGAAAGTGCCAGTAACGGGAAAACGCCATATTTACTGCTGTCATATCGTTCATTTTTCAAGTAATTACATCGTTAAAATTATTGCTCGAAATATTTCGTACATGAAGCAATGCATGTTGGGAAACTCCAAATCATGACAGTTTGATGGGCTCTCGGTCATCTTGGTTACCCATAATTTGCATAGTATGAAGTAATGCAAATACACCCAATATTAGCAGTAAAAGATTTAGTTGACCACATAATGGGGATAAAACACAAAGGAGATAAATGCCAAAGGCCAGGCCTTCAAGATGGAAGCCATTAGCAGCTAATAAAGGCATGAAGGCAGGAAATTAGCTTGTTGAAGACCCTAATTCTCCGCCTTCTGGGCATCACTCCATTTCAATGCAACCTTGTGTAAAATATCCACCAATCAGAGCCATCGAATGGCCCGCGGTCTTTCCGGAAGGGTATCTGGGGCTATCCTCAAACAGCTAGCCCGCCGAAGTCCAGTTGGGTCACGGAGCGTGTGGGGGACCAAGTGACCCATGTAGAACCTGGAGCGCTGAGGTGCACGGGACATGGCACGTGGCAGTGACACATGGCGAGACAGCCCCATGGGGGGACACATGGCTTCAATTTGGTGGCAGCACTGCCTTTGGATCCACTGTGACACTTTCATGCTGCTAAGTATTTATAGCTCACTGCAGGACCCTCATTATGGACACCTCTGAGGCTAGACCCACCACATCTCCTGCAGAGGGTAGAAGGACAGGGAGAGAAACAGGACAGGGGTGCTCAGAATCCCAGGGGAGACCCAAGGGAGGACAGGGGTGCTCAGAATCCCAGGGGAGACCCAAGGGAGGACAGGGGTGCTCAGAATCCCAGGGGAGACACAAGGGAGGACAGGGGTG